TGTGCCTTTAAGAACAAGTAACAAAAATAAATGTTCTCTTCTCCCCACAGTGGTTGAAGCAATGAAGGAAGCTCAGGAAAAGCTCACAGGGAAATTTACCAAGAAACATGTTGAAGATGAGTTATAACCTCTGCGTTTCATGCATAGAACTTTTCCCCTGATTACCCTAAACTTTGTACGTCCCAGGGGATGTAACCTCTATTCACATTATTGGACCTGCGGTGCTGGTATACCATTCTGTCATGTCACTGAGAATGTATTGGTTCACCTGTTGTAGACAGCCCTGTCACTGTTTCACCAGTGTTGATACCCTGATCTCTGTATTTCCACTACACTGTCAAATGTACTTTTTACAAGTACAGTAAATTATTTTTGGTACAGATCATTTTAGGTGGGTGCGCTTTTCTAAAGTAGTTCAAATAACGATGGTATGCGCCAAAAAGCACCAATTAGAAATCTGTTTTCTGCAACCTAAAATGAGTAGAGTAGGGCCAATTAAATATGATTTTTGATTGTTGTTACTGGACACCTTTCCACTCTTCACTGTTGACCCAAAAGCCCAAAGTACATTTCCGTTTTTTCTACCGCCTTTATACAGTGGTTGAGCCATTTTGTATTTCTTCAGTAGGATTTGGCTTATCTATTGGGTAACCAGCCATTGGCTAGCTATTTTTGGAGTTGTGTAAAGCATTTCCTTCCTGTGCCCTATAGGTGGCACCATTATACTTCTTTTCATTGCTTGCCAGGTGTGAACAACTTAAAGATAACTGTAAACCAGCGCATATAAACGACAACTGCAGCATACCAAATGTTTTTGATACTTGTTGATTATCCCTTTTGAACATTTGATTAAGTAAAAAAAAAAAAATATACTGAATTGTTCTTCATATGGTCTGTTATAATTTACAAGTGGTGGCTGCTCCATTCTCTTCAGCTGGATCTGGTGGTTAGAACTGATTAGTCCAAATGTTAGTTGAGCAATAATTCTCACTTTATAGAATATTTATGTATTTTTGTGTACAGACACAAATTTCTTACTACAGTATTTAATCCTAAATCAACCGCTTGCTGCCATTTCAGGTGAGCAGACAGTGCTGGAAAGATCAATATACTTGGTACAAGTGTTGTAAACTTCTAATGCCTTCATATTGATTCCAATAAGTGTTTTTTACCTTATAAAATACTCTATTTTTCTCCTTGTACTATTAAAAATGCCATGGATTACATAAATCAAGGAAACAATCAGTCTTGTCCAGGTAGAAAATAGAATGCAGTAATCCCCAAAGCAAGACAAAAGAAAATAGACTTTCATTGTTTGGACTGCTGTAAAGTAATGGAAGTTAACATCTCAATGGTACAGTGGGTAACTGCACGTTGTACATCATCAATCTGTGCTTTGTATGGCTTTATTAAATAACCCTAATAATGTTTTGCATGTTAAGGGTATTCTAGTTTGGGATTTTTAATGCATGTCTATCATCTACATAGCTAGATTGTCATCATTGGCCACACATTAATTCCCTTAGGAGGCATACAACATGACTAAAGCATTATATTGCAATGTATATATTCCATTTGGATTAAATCCTTCCGGTATTTCTAAATCCTCAGGTTGCTTTTCATCTATTTTCCCTTTTGTGTAATAAGCATGTATTTTACTGCTGCAGTAAACCTGTGGTGTGTATGTTGTTGGGAAATGATCATTAATCTTTAAATATATTTAGTGTTTTTTTTATTGCATGTCTTCTTTTTTAGCTTTATCAGCGATGGTACTGCCCAGTGCAGAATCACTATGCCATAATCACGTAGAGCACCATTTCCATTCCACATAAGAACATTTGTATTACAATTTAATATCATATAATTTGCAAGTCTCAGGAAATTCTTGGTAAAACAAATTGGAACATGTAACAAATATAGAGTAGGTGTTATCCTAATTTGGTTGCAAAAGTGGAAATACACTTCAAAGCAAACCTGTGTTTTATCGTTCCAGGGCAGTTTATTTATTGCATGTATTTATAAAGTGCTGCCAATTTATGAAGCACTTTGCATACTGTACATTAACATGAGTCCCTGTCTTCAAGGAGCTTACAATCCAAGGTCCCTACTGCACATACCTCACATAGGGCCAATTTAGACAGGAGCCAATTAACTTACCAGCATGTCTTTGGACGGTGCGAGGAAACAAGAGTACCCAGAAGAAACCCACACAAGCACAGGCAGAACATGCAAACTCCATGCAAATAGTATCCTGACCGAGATTCAAACTGAGGACCCTTTTGCTGCAATGCAGACTTTAAAACCTTACTCCAGCCGAAACTTTTTTTTTTTTTTTAGTTTAGAAATACAAACTAGGTTATTCACAAAAGGGTGAGGACTTTGGAGAAGGCAAGAGCAGTGAATAATTTAGGACAACATAGCTGAACTGGGAAGTGATCTGCATTTGGAGAATTTTTCCAAATTGGCTATGTTGTCCTAGATTTGTCCACACGCTCATGCTTTAGAACATTCAGGGTATTCTTAAAGAAACACAAGTGTTGCCATTGCTGTCCTTCTGAAGATTCCCCTATGTTATCCTTTTGCCATTTGTGGAATCAATAAATATATTCCGGGACACTCAAAAGGCTTGTTTGTCTCTACTTCTGGCTTGACTACACATTTTTAATATCTGATGACATAATACCTTTAAGAAGACCATGTGCCCTGCCCATTCAGGGTCCACTCCCCCACATCCCTGTTTGGGATCCTGGATGGCGGAAGGGATCCCACATCCCATCCACCACAGCAATACCGTGACTCTCCATTGCCTCCCCGCAATGTAGCACTTAGTGTCTGAGATGACTATTTGGCAGGCCTAAAGGTGCCCATACACTGCCCGTTCTGATCAGGTATTCTGACAGGTGACAATACAATGTAAACAGCGGGTTGAACCAAAAAGAAGTTATATTTGTATAGCCAGCCTAAGAGTTGTCACATGAGGTCATGGGGGAAGGACCATTAGCATGGTATATAGTTTGCTTGAAAATGACCCTGTCACTTAAACCTGCTGGGAAAATTACAATGTAACTTTTAAAAGAGAATGTATCATTTTTTTTAACTTCAAAATAAAAAAAGAATTATTACAGTTTCCCCTATGATTAAGAATGATACCTGCAACTAAAAGTGAACTCTGTGCTTCCTCCAGAAACTCTTCGTATGATCAGTTCATAGGGTCTCTGTAGTTGGGGAGGATCACCGATTGGCCAGCTCTTCCTAAATATCAGTTCCCCAAATCCATTAAAGAGAAACTGTGTGGCCAATGCTGACCCAAGGGTCACGTGACAAGGTGCTTAGACAATCTTTCTTAGGTATTAGTCTACTTTAAAATATAATTCACTGATGTCACTTTGTGGTTGGACTTGATTCCACCAAGCACTTAAGATAGCAGCAGAAATGGGCTTTAAAGTGTGTTGGGATCCTTTAGGAAGTGGGGTCTTCTCCATGCTACCACTCGGCAAGATTTTCGTGACGCTGGGGATCTTTTCCTCTTAATCACAGGGAGTCTGTTTAGCCTTTGAGTCATTTTTGTCCGTTAATAAAATACTACATTGATTTATGTTTAGGATATCGAGTCCGATCTGTTGTGATAATTCATTACTACTGCATAATTGTTTAAAACTTTAAATACACATGAGCATTTAAACCACATACGTGTGGAGTATGATGGCCTTTCTGACAAATATGACGTGTTAACCGGGCATTGAAGTGTTCATGCACGATCCTGCATGTTTGTCCCTGTTATTGCCTTGCCTTTCTGTTTCTCATTAAAGAGATTGATATGGATTTTCTAACAAATAAAAAAAAAAAAATGTTTTGTTAAAGAAGTGTACGTCTTCTTATTGTTCAGACTGTGTATAATAGACTTTGCCTTTTGGATCTGCTGAGGCAAGAGGAAGTCCCTTCCCTGGCACATGGTACTTTCCCTATTACTGACTAACTCTGCCTTGTTCGGCACTGTGTTTCTGTATGGAGGTTTCCACCTTTGTAGAGGCTGGGCTTTGCTTCTTCATGTTAGTCTCTAGCAAAGAGAACCGCACAGTAATGACATCACCAAATCTCCTGAGACTAGCCTTAGATCTCACACGGTAGATATACAGCTATAAGTCTGTAGGCCTGGAATGTCTAGGCACATACTGGGAAGTGCTGTGCTACTTTTCAGGAGGAATTCCAGACAAAGGGTAAGTTTTTCAGATATTTCTTAGGCACACGTAACATTTCCAGGTGTTCCATATAACACAGTAAATCAGTGTAAGCAGTTTCAGTACAGGAGAGGAGTGTGTACAACTGTGCAGGCCCAGAGTAAATTTAGAGTTCAGCTTTAAGGTCTGACACTGGATTTCATCTTCCCCTACTTGTCCATAAAAAAAATTTGGGCTGGAGTTGAGCTTTAAAGGAGAACTATGAGGTGAGTGATTTTCACTCAGTCTCATAGTTCTAGCCGACCTGTGACAATGAAACTGTCACAGGTCGGCTCAGTAGATCGGTAAGTGAGCGAACACATACCGGCGCTCGCTCACTTCTCGATCCATGGTCGGCAGAGAGCCGTGACAGGAGGGACTGGATTCCCCCCTCCCCTGTCTGATCCTCCAGCGCTGACTGGCGGAACGGACCGGGAGGGGGTGGGTACAGCTGGCACTGCCTCTAGATAGGCAGAGCCAGCTGTCACTCATGCAGCTGGGTGGATCCAGACATAATTGTCGGGATCCGTTCCTGCTGCGGCGCCTCAGCTCGCGGTATACTGAGCTTTGGGTGACGGGAGGACGCTAGTTTGTGTCCTCCCGTTACCCTTAGGAGAACTATGGGGAAAAGCCCTCACCCCATAGTTCTCCTTTTAAGTGCTGTGCTAGGGACAGGCACATAATTATTTTCCAACTGGATGGCTGACATGATTTATGAACTAGGGGGTGACTAAGCTCGACAGCATTTGAAACTAAAAATGTCAGGTTAGGGGGACTAACCATTATCATTCTCTTGGTTGCATTGTAGGTCTTTAGCTTCTAAGTGTATCTAATTGATCTTTGACAAGCTGTGTGTAGGGAACAAGCACAGGATTTAACATTTGTGCCGTTCCACAAGGACCCTCTGGGACTTAGGGATGCCACTAGATGTAAGTCAGATGGTTGTTGGGACCTCCTGTCACATTAGACATGGACATTGCTCCATTCTATCTAGCTGTCATTTGACACACAGTGAAAAGACTTATCTTGGCCAACAGTTGAATGGTCCAGAAATTGGTCTTGTACATGGAACCCTTGGTGACTTCCTCTATGGACAGGTATATATTTAGTCCACAGTGTAATGGCAAAGTGCAAATAGCAGTAACCTATCCGCGTTCAGAGCTCATACGACATAAGCTGCAGCCTGTTTGCAGTATCTTACCTAACATTACACACAGAAAGCATTTTTGCACTTAGT